GAGCCAGCACTACTTGGGGATATAGCTCAGTGTTTGCCTAGCAAAGTCCTAAATTCAATCTCCGGTTCAAAAAAAAAAGCAAAACAACAACAACAACAGCACAATGCTCCTGGCTTAGCTAAGAAAAGCCACAGGACAAACAAAACACTACAAAAGATGAGGGACATGACAAGTTTGGTTTGACAGGAGCACACATCGTCATGTGGGACAAGACATGTTTCCTAATGGGCTCCATGTTTCCACAGACAGTGAGCTGTTTAAAGTATGAACCTTCCGCCGGGTATAGCGGTGCATGCCCTTGTTTCCAGCATTCAGGAAGCAGAGGCAGAGGCAGGCAGAGCTCCATGAGTTTGACACCAGCCTGGTCTACACAGCAAGTTCCAGGCCAGCCAGGGCTACACAGAGAAACCCTGTTTAAACAACAACAACAAAAACCCTCCAGAGATGAAGTTCAAAATTAATACTGTTTTTATAAAAGATAGTTTTAGTATATTCTAAGCCCAATCGATTCTATTTTTTCATTCTACTAAAATGTTATACATGTGTAAGCACAAATAAATATAGAGTTAATATGATAGACCAACACCATATATTTATGAAAAGATGCAGCAAGATTGTAACATTAATAAATTTTTATCATCTACAATACCACTACCATTTTAATAACAGCCTGCATATTTGTATATATATCATCATGATCCGAGCATAATTTGAAGTTTTATTATCACGGTAACTTTGATTACCTTAAAAGCCTACTATCTATATTAAAGACTGACAGAGAATATCAGCAAAAGTACATGTAATTCCATTTGCTTGCTCCTTGAAAGAATACCATTTTATGTATACAGGTCAGAGTCTGTCTGTGGGTAAATGGTAGCAGTCGAGCCTAATTCTTCTAGTCTTCCATTCTCCACAGTTTCCCTGACTTAGAGAGCATCAAAATGTCCCCAATCTGAACTGAAGAAAAAGTCAATGCCAAAATGCTAATAACACATCTTCTGAATTTGTCAGTGATTGCCGAGGAACGTTAGCCAACCAGGCGCCTTTCTCCTAAATCAGCAGCCCAGCTAGCTCCAGCTCAAATCAGTCTGCAAGAAAAATGCGTAATCACAGAGAATGCTACGGAGTTGGCCAGAATGAAAGAGCATGGCCACGTTCTGTAAATCTGAGGTGGTCCGTTTTCACTTCAGATATTTTCACGGCTCATGTGCGGCGTGTTTTCTAAGAGGCCTCCCTCGTCTCACGCATCAGCCTTGCGTGCCACCCATCCCTCCCTTCGTAGAGAAAAATTCATTCAGCGTTTCTCGTGGTTCTCTTTCCTTCCTCTTCTCTGGAGTAACGCTTCATGCTCAATACAATTTTGTCAGCTGGAGCTTTTTCAAATAGGAGCTGATGAGGGCCGCAAGACACAGCAGGTATTTTCAGTGTGTCACAAGCGGTTTCCAAGGAACAGGATGTTACAGAGATGGAGCTGTTTCCCTTGAGGCAAAGGTTCAGCCAACGCAGAGACTCCACATCCCTGCTCCTGAGAAAGGGACCTCCCTTAATTTCCTCCCCGAGCCTCGGGGGAGCGGTACCTGGCACACGACGGCAGCTTTGCCAGCTCTCTGTCTCACAGAAGGAAAGCAACTGTACCTGCTCTTGCATCAAACCCTTCCCCAGTCAGATCTCAACTAAGCAGTGCCTCCGGCAGTTTCATCATTAAGTAAAATGGAAGGCCCGTGAAAATGCCGTTTACACACACCTTCCCCCTCACTAACACTGTTGGTAGTTTGAACAATGTTTATTCTGAATGCGGAGCCCCGAAGCAGTTCCTGCATTCCAAGGTAGAAAACCTGAATACTGATTTGCTAAGAGATGTTTTGTGCTGGAAATATTAAAAAAATAAACGGAGGCACATTGAAATTTTTGAAGAGTATTTGAGCAACTCCAGACCATAAGCAGTCCAGCCCTTCCCTGGGGTTGGGGCTGACGGAGGTGGAAGAGACAAATGGAAAGGATACAGGATTTGAGTGGTAAGTCCCCACTGCCTGTTAGCTGGTGGTGTCTGGCTGCATTGTGTACAGTGGCCTTTGATTTGCCACTAAGGAACTCAGGATCCTGGCATGCTCTCTGCCTAATGGCCTCCCAATTAATGTCTTCAAACAGAAACAGGCAATGGAGAATTATGCAAATTCTTCTGTTTTAAATGATAATTAGTGTAATTGCTTCTTGTATTTTTCCCTAAAAAATAAACAGTTTGGGGGACTCCTCTGACTTCACATTAAACCAGTTTCTATGCTGTTTCACTTATAAGCAACTTGTTCTGGCAAAAACTTACTTCTAATCTCGTGGCTGGTACAGAGCAAATGCTCACTAAATTCTTATTTTAAAAAATGAACTGAGAAGACACCAATCCAGCATGCGCCATGGGCAAGCGCCTTTCCCCTAACCTGCCACTGACCTCATCCCACAGTGACCTCACACGCTCTCCCCAGTGAGGGCAGAAAACATTTTATCCTGTTACTTGAAAGAAGGTCCCAGCCAGGTGGTGGTGCATGCTTTTGATCCCAGCACTTGTGAGGCAGAGGTAGAATCTCTGAGTTCGAGGTCAGCCTGGTCTACAAAGTGAGTTCGAGAATAGCCAGGACTACACAGAGAAACCCTGTCTCAAAAAACCAAAAAAGGAAAAAAGAAAGAAAGAAAAGAAGCATCCAACTTCAACAATAGTTTGTAAGGAACCCTGTTTTTGTTTTCTCTTTTGATCAAGGTGTTCAGGATTGTTTATCTGTCCCTAGTTCC